CAGCTGGAGGCGAAAGGCAAGGGAAGAACTGCTGAACCGGAGAGCGGAGTTGCATGTGAGCCGAGATCATGACCACTGCACTCCAGGCCTGCGAGACAGCGAGACTCTGTCCTCCAAAAAAAAAAAAAAAAGAAATATTACTATAGGCCCGGGCGTAGTGGCTCATGCCTTATCCCAGCAGTTTGGGAGGCCTAGGCAGTGGATCAACTTGAGGTCAGGAGGTCAAGAACCAGCTGGCAATACCAGTGAAACCCTGTCTCTACTTCAAAAAATACAAAAAATTAGCACGCATGGTGGTGGGCACCTGTAATCCCAGCTACTCTGGAGGCTGAGACAGGAGAATTGCTTGAACCCAGAGATGGAGGGTGTTGCAGTGAGCCCAGATCTTGCATGCACTCCAGCCCTGGGCAACAGAGCAAGACCACGTCTTCCAAAAAAAAAAAAAAGAATAGTTACTATAGACCCCAACATGGGACCAATACCATAGCCACTAGACACTAGATAACACTGTGGCTACTGAGCACTCACCTCGCTCGAATGCCGGCCCAGTGTGACTGAGAAACTGAATTTTTTTATTTTACTTAATTTTAATTACTTTAAAATTTAAAACTCAAATTGAAATTTAAATAACTCAGTTCAGTTACACAAAACCTTTTATCTTGGAACAACTCACATTTATGAATCTTTTAAAAGTATAAATGTTATGAAATGAGATCTAGTATTTCTGATAAAAAATTGGCATCCAAATTGAAATGTGCTGTAAGCGCACACCAGATTTTGAGGACTTATAGTAGGAAAAAAAGTGTAAAGTAGCTCATTAGTTTTATATTAATTACCTGTTGACATGATAATATTTTGGATATACTCACAAATAAAACTATTATTTAAAATAATTTTACCAGTTTCTTTTTACCTTTTTAATGTGGCTATTAGAAAGTTTGAGGTTATATAGGTGGCTTGTATTTTATTTTACTGGACAGCTCTGCTATGGGTAGTATTAGACACAAAGTAAGATTTTACCTAGTAGATGTCAGAATCTTGGTTACTTTCACAATATATTTCTGTAGAAAATTCAGTTTTTTGGCCAAATGATGAAGCAACTCAGTTGTGTTAATAGGAAAGAGTACTCAGGTTAATTATAGGTATTTGTGGAAAGTAACAGATGTGTCATCCAGGATCTGTGATCTCTATGGACCTACTATTTTTCCCTCAAGCGCTTGTGAAGTGTAACCTTAAAAATGTCAGTGGTTTACAGCACCTGTGGACCGAAGTGATGTCCAATAAACCAGATCCCAACCCATCAATGGAATGTACCTGGTAAAAGATCTCCCATTTATCCAGTTTTTCATCTATTTTTTTTCCCAAAACACATGTATTAAATTATGTCCCTAGTTTGGTGACAGAAGGTGCCTTCCATGTAGTTCGTGAAGAGTACTGTTTTCACCTTATGACTTAACAGAAACCCAGTCCTCTCAGACAAGCAGGAAGGGAAAAGACTTCCTTTGTCAAGCAGGAAGGGAAAAGACTTCAGGTTTTGTTTTGCTTTTTTCTTTAAAGAACATCAGCTTATAGCTACAGTTTATAGTCTAGAAGAAAACAGAGTTTCTTTTAAATATACTGCTTTGTTTAAATATTGGCCAAGTTGACATTCTCCATCTAAGTAGAAACTACTTTTTCAGATGTTAAGATTGGATTGAGTTGAAAAACGAAAAGAAACATCTGAAGTTTTTTTCTTTTATGGTGACAACATGCATAAACTCATATGTATCTAATAATTACTAGACATCCAAACACTCTAGATTCTGATTTTACTTTAAAAAAGAAAATCATTCTCTTTAAAAGCATCAGTTTAGAAACTGAACAGGAATTGGGAGATTTCTTTTTTTCTTTTTTTTTTTTTGAGACGAAGTTTTGCTCTTGTTGCCCAGGCTGGACTGCAATGGTGCGATCTCGGCTCACCGCAACCTCCGCCTCCCGGGTTCAAGCGATTCTCCCACCTCAGCCTCCCGAGTAGCTGGGATTACAGACATGCGCCACCACATCCAGCTAATTTTGTATTTTTAGTAGAGACGCGGCTTCTCCATGTTGGTCAGGCTGGTCTCAAACTCCAAACCTCAGGTGATACACCTGCCTTGGCCTCCCAAAGTGCTGGGATTACAGGCATGAGCCACTGCACTCAGCCAAGATTTCTTATTCACTGCGTATAAAGCACTTAAATTTAGTTAGAATGAAAACTAAGTAACCTGTTGTTTATAACAGTAGAACAATTGGAAACTACCTAAATATTCAACAGTAGGGAACTAGTTAATAAACTAAATACGTGTAGGTAGATAATGTAATAACAAACGGCAATTAAAAAACATATATATTTATATGTATACAGTCACACACCACAAAACATTTTGGTCTACAACAGACTGCATAAATGATGGTGGTTCCAAAAGATTATAATACTGCATTTTTACTATACCCTTTCTTTGTTTAGATATGTTTTGATACACAAATACTTACCATTGTGTTACAACTGCCTACAAAGTTCAGTAGAGTAATATGCTGTACAGGTTTGTAGTCTAGAAGCAACAGGCTTTAGCATATAGTCTATGTGTGTAGTAGGTGATAGTGGGTGACAGACACCATCTAGGTTTGTTTCAGTACACTATGATATTCACAAAATGAAATCACCTGACAACAAACTTCTCAGAATGCATTCCTGTCATTAAGTGACATATGACTGTGTATACAAATATACATGTATATAAATATATATACTAATATGGAAAATGTCCAGAGTATACTGGTTAAGTTTCAAAATCAAGGCACTGGAAATGTTTTCACTGTTTTATACACACACATTGTGTGGAATCATGTGTGTATGTTTATACTCAGAAAAAAAAATCTAGAATACATAAGAAATTATTAGCATTGGTGACTTCTGGAGGGTAGTCTGGTGGGATGGGAAAGGAAGGGAATTCATTCTTTGTGCTTCATGCATTTCTACATTTTAAAAAACGTAAGTATGAATTAAATAATACAAAAACTTCTAGATTTTTAAAATGAAATTAATTTGATGTATGGAATAGCTTGGTAATTGGGTAATGCTGAGAGTTATATTCATTTACAACAATGAAAAACCAGATGAAAATCCCTGCTTTCAAGAAGCTTCTAGTCAGGGGAGATAGACAATACATAGATACATCAGTAAAATACCAATTTTACTCTATGGTAATAGGCACAAGAAGGAAAAAAAAAAGTAGTAAAGAGGAATAGATAGAGATAAGAGTTTCTATTTTCAACAGAGTGGTCAGAAAAGTCTCAAGAGAAGGAGACACCTGAGTGAAGACCTGGAGGAGGTGAAGCAGTGAGCCATGCAGGTATGTGAGAGAGTGCTCCAGGCAGAGGAAGCAGCCAGTGCAAAGGTGCTAAGGCAGAGGCATGCCTGGAGTATTCGGAGAAGAGGCCAGTGTGGTTGAAACAGGGAGCGGGGAGAGGTAGAAATGGGAGTGGGCAGATTGTGCAGGAACTGGAAGGCCTCTGTAAGGACTTCTGAGGGAGATGGAAAGCCCCTGAGGGATTTGAGAAGAGAACGGACATGCCCCCTCTGCTCTATTAGGAAAAGACTGTATGGGAACAGGTGTCAAAATAGGAGGCTTTTGCAAAAATCCAGGTAAGAAATGGAAATGGCCTGGACTAGGTGATGGATTGAGGTAGTGAAAAATAGTTCACATTCCAGATATATTTGGAAGGCTCATATGATGAGCTAGGGATTGATGTCGACATAGAGAAAAAGGGTCAGGATGGAAATAAAAGGTTTTGTTGGCTTGAGTAATACAAGGATGGAACTGTCATTTATGGGGCTACTATAAAATAGTTCTATTTTATACTCAGGATATGTATCTATATCTACATATTTTTTGAGTCAGGGTCCCACTCTGTTGTCCAAGCTGCGATGCGGTGGTGTTCCAAGTATAGCTCACTGAAGCCTCAAAGTGGACTCAAGTGATCCTTCCACCTCAGCCTCCCAAGAGCTGGGATCATAGGTGCACACCACAACACTCAGCTAACTTTTTTTTATTTTTAGTAGAGATGAGGTCTCACTGTGTTGGCCAGGCTGATCTCCAACTCCTGAGCTCAAGCAATCCTCCTGCCTTAGCCTCCCAAAGTGCTGGGATTATAGGTGTGACCCACCACACCTGGCCCTCAGTCAATTTTGAAATGAGGGGTACAAAACAGTACTTTGAGAGATTCACATCTTTAAGGAAGAAAAATTCTGACTAAAAAGCACTATTTACAAAGTGCAAAAAAATATATATTTGCAATATATATATTGGCAACAGGGTCTTGCTCTGTCACCCAGGCTGGAGTGCAGTGGGCATGAACATGGCTCACAGAGCCTCCACCTCCTGGACTCATGCAATCTCCAGCCTCAGCCCCTGAGTTACTGGGACTACAGGCCTGCACCCACCACATCTGGCTAATTTTTAAGTGTTTTGTAGAGACGGGGTCTTGCCATGTTACCCAGACTGGTAAATTGTAATCTTTTAAAAAGTAATATATTCATTTGGGTAGCAGAAAACAGAGAAGTTTTTTCTTTTTCCTGTTTTAAGACATAGGTTCTCAGCCAGGCTGGAGTGCAGTGGCACGATCATAGCTCACTGTAACCCATAACTCCTGGGCTCAAGTGATCCTTCCACTCAGCCTCCCGAGTAGCTAGGACTACAGGTGTATGCCACTGCATCTGGTTTTTTTATTTTTATTTTTTTTTAGACATAGGGTCTTGCTATGTTGTCCAGGGCTGGTCTCAAACTCTTGGCCTTAGGCGATTCTCCTGCCTCAGCCTCCCAAAGCACTGGGATTACAGGGGTGAGCTGCTACACTGGGTCAGAAAGTACTTATTCTTGATGAAGACATAAATAGTTATCAGGTGGTAGTATTAAACTCTCTAGCAATATATCTGCAAGAATTCCAATTTCAGGTAAATGGCACATCAGTCACATGCATCAGACAGCAGGTTATATAGATGTTCTTTAATGTACTCCAAATGGAACACAGACACTTCTAAAAATATTGTTCAAGAAGAAATATTGTGAACATACTATCAATTCAAGTGTATACTACACATAAACTTAGAGATAGTTTTTGAACAGACTATGTAGAGAACTCCTGTACTGACAAGAATTCAGATGTCCATGGACAAAATCATCTCTAAAAGAGGTAAGTATATTTTTATACAGCTTAATTCATTAGTTCAATTTTGGCAGTAATCAAGTATTAAAATCAGAGAAAGCAACGCTTCCTTTTAAAAGAAAATATACAATTAAGGCTTGGGCATTGGTGGCCTCACGCCTGTAATCGCAACTAACTCAGGACACTGAAGTGGGAGGATCGCTTGAGATCAGGAGTTTTAAGCTTCACTGAGCTATGTGTACCACTTTATCCTTCTGGGTGACACAGCAAGACCTTGTCTCAAAAAACAAAACAAACAAAAAAACCAACTATATATACATTATATACTATATATAGAGTTATCTATCTATGTATATGGATATATCTCTCTATGTATGCTAGCAGATGTGTGTGTGTGTGTATATATATAAACTGTCACATGAATAGGAAGGGATAATGAAATATAAAGATGACTTGTTAGCTGCTTTGTAATACTCTTCACTGGATAAATGATGGGTTATACTCTGCTATAAAATTTGTATATTTCTATATGGTACACACAGAATATACAATATACTTATATACCACGAAATACTAAGCAGCCATAAAAAGGAACGAGATCATGTCCTTTGCAGTTATGTGGATGAAGCTGGAAGCCATCCTCAGCAAACTAACACCAGGAACAGAAAACCAAACACCGCATGTTCTCACTCATAGGTGGAAGCTGAACAACGAGAACACAGGGACACAGGGAGGGGAACAAACACAAGCGGGCCTGTTAGGGGGTTGGGGGGGGAGAGCATCAAGATAAATAGCTAATGCATGCTGGCTTAAAACCTAGGTGATAGGTTGATTGGTACAGCAAACCACTATGGCCCACATTTACCTATGCTAACCAAACTTGCCATGGTGTCAAAAAAAAAAAAAAAAAAAAAAAGATTGTATATTTCTAACAGTTCCTGTCAAAAGAAGTTAGTTTCTATAGTCAGAACAGGTTTTAATTACGGTTGCTATGGATTCTACTTACTTATTAATTGTGTGTTCGTACAGTGCAATGTTACAATCATTTTCTTCATTCACATCTAAATATTCAACCAGACTCTCATGTAAGAAATCTTCAAAATTCCTGGGAAAATATTGGTGAAAGAGACATCATTAAAAAGCATTTTCTGCAGTATTTTATATAACAACAGGAGATACTGGCTTTCATTTAGGCCCAAAGCACCTTTCTCTCCCAGAGGATATCATTACATTGAGATACCTGAAACATGTTATTCTCAGCTCACACAGTAACCACAAATTGCTGAAATAAAAACAGCAAAGTGTCTGTCTGTAACTCTTGTCAACCTAGTCCCCACTTCTTAAAAAAAAAATTCTGACCTTAGAAACCTCATGATGAGACCCACAGTGTCTACACTGACACATGATGTAAGTCCCTTTCTTACCAGAAACACTTGTGTACTAACTGACTTCAAGACTATGTAAGCCTCATGATCTAAATTGATGAATATTTTACAATGTCCAAGCAAGCTCACATGGAGCAAAATAGTTTTTTAACAGGCTGGTAATTTGATGGAAAGAAATTAAAACACTAAAATGAAAATACACTTTTCTTAAATCATGTATGTGGGTATTAAGGAGATTGGTAAGTTTTACTTTTGGCTACTTACCTGTACCCTTGGGCCAGCTCTTCCATATGTTTATTTGTGACTGCTGGCTTCTGTTTCTTGACAATTATGTAGGGTCTAGAACGGAAACAGCAAAACCAAATTAATAGTAGTTCCAGGGAAAAATTACACAGGTAAATTAGTTTACCAAAGTGAGATGAAGGAAGATGTAAATACGACCAAACCTATTCCTGGATTGCTGAGTACACCAGGTATTTTTTGTATGCAAGAGCATGGTGTAGGGGCCTATGTTCTCTCTCACATATACACACATACATACCCAAGCCCATGTGCACATGTGAGTATGCGTACACATAGTCATGCACACACACAGTGCTTCCTGCAAGTATCTTAGGAAACATTTGGTTTTGAAAGAAAAGGCAACACAAAAATGATACTCAAAGTCTGAAAAGGAAACAAAACCTTTAATGTCATATTTTTAAGAACAGTGTAACGTATCAATCTAAAAACATCCCCTGATTTCACATTGGAAATATTTTGTATACTACTCACAGAGTTAACAGTCAAAGAAGCACTGTCACCTAGGGTAATAAGTGGCATTGCATTATGAGGTTCTGAGGAATATCCAGATATTTAGAGTAGTTTGATTTAGTCTAAACATCACTGAGCTAGGTTAGCAAGATACTTAAAGCTACAAGTGACCAAAGAGAGTGGCTAAAAGTTGGCAGAGAATAAAGCTTTCTTATTTTGTGGTTTTCAGCAACGTAATGGGTGGAAGGTGGAGAAGGCATTCTGGCAGATTAACCTGTAACTGTCAGTGGGGACTTGCCTCGGAGGGCTCTGCCACCATGAGGAAACCCCGACACAAAGGATGGCATGCGGCACTGAAACGTCAAGGGCTGTTGCTATTTGGATAAGGAGCTCTTACAGAGAGGAGCAAGTAACCACCAGACACTTGTACGCTCTACCCTAAAGTCCAAATAACTATTTGAGGACTAATGAGCACTTTTAAACAGTTAAGAAGAGGAGCTGCACAATTACAAAAGCGGAACACAAGTTGTTGAAAAATGAACTGGGTGAGCTTTTCATGGAAATCCACAGTACCTCGAAATTCTGGCTCCTTCTTGGTAGGGAAGCAGAGCCCGCTAATGCCTCATTTGAGCGCTGCAGTGGATTCAGGTTAAGCCTCAGATGAGACGACAGAAACCGGCGGAGGAGAGGGAGGGGATCACATTTAGCTGCCTCAGTTATCCTTACGTTAACTCAACACATTCTACTATTTTTTCCTGCTAGATCTGTCATGCCATTATAAAGTTGCTTCTATAAAAGAGTTTTCTTTTTTTTTTTTTTGAGAGGGAGTTGCTCTGCCACCCAGGCTGGACTGCAGTGGCCGGATCTCAGCTCACTGCAAGCTCCGCCTCCTGAGTTTACGCCATTCTCCTGCCTCAGCCTCCCGAGTAGCTGGGACTACAGGCACCCGCCCACCCGCCCTGCCCGCTACTTTTTTGTATTTTTGTAAAGAGACGGGTTTCACCGTGTTTAGCCAGGATGGTCTCGATCGTCCTGATCTCGTGATCCGCCCGTCTCGGCCTCCAAGTGGCTGGGATTACAGGCTGCAGCACATGCCGCCCGCCCGTTTTCTTTTGAATATATATTATGTTGGATGTAATGAAATCCTAAAAAGAGAGTAAACCTAGAAATTGTCACTGTTTATTCCTGCCCTTTAACTGGAACCATGCTATTAATAGGTTGAATAAATAAGACCTAGTTGCGTGTGGCCTGGCACTCTACAGAGCACTTACCACACCTTATATCAACTACTTCTCAAGACAATCTTAGGCAGGCATTATTGTTTCCATTTTACAGCCAGTGAAACCAAGGCTGAGAGAATGAAGTAGTACACTCAGAGTCACACAACTCAGTAAGTGGGAAGTAAGGATTCAAACACAGGTATATCATCAGCTAACCATTCTTTGGTTGCAAAGAAGAGAAACCAATTCTGGCTAATTTAAGCCAGATAAAATGAAGTTTACTGGAGGCATTAAGAATTTATCGGTGCTGGGTGCAATGGATCACACCTGTAATCCCAGCACTTTGGGAGGCTGACGTTGGTGGATCACTTGAGGCCAGGAGTTCGAGACCAGCCTGGCCAACACAGTGAAACCCCATCTCTACTAATAACACAAAAAATTAGCCAGAGGCGGTGGTGTGTGCCTGTAATCCCAGCTACTCGGGGGGGCAGGGGTGGGAGGGGAGCTGAGGCATAAGAATTGCTTGAACCTGGAAGGTGGAGGTTGCAGTGAGACAATATTGTACCACTGCACTCCAGCCTGGGTGACAAACTGAGACTCTGTCTCAAAAAATAAAAAAAAAAAAGTTAATGGAAGGATAAGAATCAACAAAAAAGCTGAAATGCTCAGCCTCAGAAAGAAAAGGAACTAGAGCAATTCCAAGGATCCAGAAAATGGGGTGTTAACAGGCAGTCTCTTGCATGCAGCACTGGGAGAATGAATCAGGTCCAACCACTTCCCTCCCTTGATTTATTTTACCTGGGATTCAAATTCTCTGATGAGGGGGTATGACTGGCCTCATTTGGGTCATATGCCCAACCCCTGGCTGAAGAGAAGAGGGCACTGGACTGACCATCCCAAGAAGCCTGCCAATGGGGAGGGGCAGTCCTCAAAGGAAAATGAGGTAGTATCATATGAAGGAGGAATGGATGCTGGACAGTCACTCTCCCAGCTCTGACAGACTTCCAGCTACTGCTAGCTCACTGCCTCGTGCTTCAACTCTACCTGAGGTATACACAGAATAACTACGGTAATGCTAGAAAAGGCTTGTGAAACAAGGCAATGTCCTCAGCTGATGTCTCTGCATATCCCCTCAAACCAGACACTATGTCACATTCATCTTTGTACCTCCAGCTCCTAGATAGTACCTGTGCACAATAGGCCCTTAATAAATACTTACTGAATGAATAAAAGGAACCTACTTTTCCATTGGGTCTAGTGTTATTTTATTTCTTCATGTCTCCATGTTTTCATTCTTGCCTTGTTTCAGCCTTTCTCCTCCCCACCTACCTCCAAGTTAACACAATCCTACTCATCCTTTAAAGCTCAGTTTGTAGCAACAGACTATAGTGGGCAAAATCATGCATCAAACGAATCCTAAGGACTTTGAAATAAAAAACAGACTCCACCACTCTTTAGTTTTCAATAAGTTACTCAGCCTCACTGAACCTCAGTTTCCTCATTTGTTAAACGACAAGAATAATCCAACCTCATAGGGTTGAATGGAGTTAAAGCCTTACACATATAGTGCCTCCATTAAAATGACAAATAGTGGCTAGCATTAACTACTAGCACAGATGATTGTTATTAGTCATTTTTTCTGCCTTTCCCGGCTGACTGAGCTCTCTGAGGGCAGACTCTGTCTCCCATATTAATTTGCATCCTCAGTACCTAATATGCATATTCATAAAGTGTTTGCTCATGGAATTAAATTTATCTTCACAATGAAAGAGGTTAAAACAGTTTCATAAATAAAAACAAGTCTATTTCTTTCAAGAATAAATATAAAGAGATTCTCAAAAACTCTTTTTAGTAACATATACCTGCATAGCCTTCCTCCATCAGAAGAAATATAGACACATCGATCTGTAAGATTTGTTGAGATGGAAACAAATTCATTGATATATCCTGCTCTTCTCATGAGTCGAAATGTATTCACCAGCTTTTTGTGGTCGCGAATGACACCCAAGATGTTACCTAGGCAAAAAGAAAGAATAGGTAAGACAGAAATAAAAAATAAACCCAACCTGATTTAATATATCCAACCAATAAAAATAGTAAGCAGCACTAAGCAGTTATTTGAAAATACTGTTATTAATACCTGCAGCCAGTCCACAAGGTTGCAGGGAAGCAACAAAGGAAGAATGGTTAAGGGCCAGTCCTTCCAGATGCTGGCTGAGGAATGCTGGAAAAGTCAGCTTCATTTTCCTCATCTTTCAGTACAGTGCTGGGGCATGAACTCAGGTCCAAACAACTTGGGTTTGAACACTGGCTCCATCACTTCCACAGGGTGGTAGTCAAGATTAAACGAGCTGATCATTTAAAGTACTGAGAATTCTGCTTAGCACCTACTAACTGCTACTATTAAACTGCTTCTTGTTGTAATCATCATCTGTGAAATGGGGAAAACGAACTTTGCTTCCCAAGGTTAGCGGGAGGATTCAAAAAGGCACTGGTTAAAGTGCAGAGTAAAAGCTCACTCAATGTTAGCCTCTGGGATATAATGAATGAGGCAGTCAGTTAACAGCCCTGCTGAGGCTCTGACCCCTTCCTCACCAGCCCATATAAAAAAGAGTTAATGCCTCCTAGAATGAGCAGAAGGGGGAGTGGAAGAGAGGAAAGACAAGTGATAAGGGATAAGCTCATGGAGCATACTAGTGAGAGGACAGGCATACACAGCAATAAATCAAAAGCAGAAAGGAAGAGAGCACACTTCCTGCTGAGTCTCTGGAAGACTTTGAAGGAGGTAGGAAGAGGTATATGAAAGAAGTAACTGGAGTGTGAGCCAGAGGAGAGGGATCCTCTTACCACAGGCTGCTGACATACTGATTATCAGACGGCTAGACAAAGTCAATTCATTATAAGAGCTGATATGATAATTTTTGCAGAATGACTCCAATATTTAACTTGAACTTAAAGATACCATGTTGAACCTTATTCCACTATGGATATGTCAGCAACTGCAAAAGGGCAGACAGCAGCCACTTTCTGCAATGTTACCCTTTAGCTCTGATAGCTATATCCTCTCAGAATCTTGGATAACCCAGCCAACAAAGTAACTATTTCTGTTATCACTGTATTTTCTACCTTTAAGTGAAGGTCAACCTGGGCCCAGAATTAAAGTCTATTTGTGCTTTACATACCAGGATAATAATGGATTCCCTCCCCCTCTTCACAGACTATCTAGGGCCAAGATGTCTCCATAATATACCCACCATTAAGAAACACAAGAAACACATTTGGGTAAGAGAGCTCTTCCCCACATAATAAATTCACATCTTCTACTCCCAAGTTACTGGCTAATTTAACAATGGGTCCATCTTCCATATCAGTTGTGATGTGTGTCATAAGGGCCAAGTTTTTAACCAAACCACATGCCTAAAAAACAAAAGACAGTCATTTTTAAGAATGAACATTAGTAATACAAAGTACAGTCTGCATCTGAAAATAGCTCACTACTTTGCTGGCGGCAATGCAAAGCAGTACAACTTTGTAGGGGATACTGTGGTGATTCACACAAATGTCTTTAAAATATATATATATCCCTTAATCCAGAGGAATTTATCTTCATAACAAGCAAGGATATAAAATAGATTTAGCTACAGAAATGCTCAGCACAGTACTATTTGTAATTGTAAATGTTGACGGCATAATAAATGCCCAACAATTGACTACATTAACAATTACTCCCAGACAACGAAACATTACAGTCATTATGATGATACTGTATAAAATAAGTAAAGGAAAACATTAATAAATGCAGCTACATAAAAATATAAAATTTCTGGCCTGAAATGAGAGACTGTATAAAATAACTGGCCAGTACCCTTAAGTTTCTTGGTCATTAAAGGTAAATAAAGACTGAAAAACTCTTTCAGATTAAAAGAGACAAGGAGACATGACAACTAAAAATAATGTGTGATTCTGGAACAGAAAAAAGACAACAGTGGGACAACTGGCAAAATTTGAATAAGATCCATAGATTATAGTATTGTTCAATGTCATGAGGTTGATAACAGTGCTATGGTTACATAAGATGTTCACAGTTGGGAATCTAGATGAAAGATTGTGGAAAATCTTTGTATCAGTTTCATCACTTTTTTGTACATCTAAAATTATTTCAAAATGAAAAGAAAATAAATACTTTAAACATCTATGCAACCCAGTACAGTTCTAAAACAACAATACCAACAAGGACAGAATATAGTAAATAGAAAAAAAATACTTAAGACAGGTGACTTGTAAGATTGTATCTTCAAGTCTTAAAACCATCTGCTGCGGTAACCGTACAAAATAGCTACTTTTTTTTCAGGTTAGCTGAAGCAATCTCTGGGAAATGAAATGTTTCAAAGTTGTATAAATTATACAAAATTTGACAAACTGGATAATTTTAGTGTCAATTTCCATATGGTTCCAGATAAATTACATAAATAGTTTCTAAAAATCGCAGCTCTATACAGACTCCTATTTTCATCTCTTCCAAATAATGATAAATTCCTACACTTTGGAACCTGCATCTTTTACTTGTCATAATTATTAATTCAGCATATATTCATGGGGCCTCTACTCTAACCAAGGCTCTATGCTAGGAGCTTGAGATACAACGGTGAACCTTCCTTCCTCCAGAATTTTACAATTTAGAAGGAATAGAATCAAGTGAAACTCACAATGTTAACCCAAGGGAGAAAGGACCCTGACACAGGGAGGAGCGGGTGCTACAGAAGCAAAACAATGTAAACTCCCTGGCTTGGTGTTTAGGCAATTGCTTGTGTTTCCAATACAAGTGAGTTAGAATCCGCATTAGGTCATGGACTGTATACTCCTAATTGGCTGTGACTGAGCCTAACTAAGGACAATAAGGAGCTGCTCAAAAAGAGCCCCTCATGAGCATGAGAGGGGATAGGTCTTTCAATCTGCCTTCACAGTCTTATCCCCTCTGTGCATGATTTGATTTTGGGATAAACTAAAATAAGCAAGAGAAACATGGACTGTATTACTTTTAGCTAACACACAGAATCAAATGCTTCTGCAGGTCCTAGTTTTGGAATCATACGAATGTAGTCTCCCAAGCATGTCAATATTTCTTTGCCAGATAAATGATGGACAAAAGAAAGGATATGGCCTGGAGATGGGAACAGAAGCAGAACCCCCCACCCCACCCCATGCACAGACATAGGTATTGCCTCTGACACAGCATCAAGACTCCTCAGATTCCTTACCTCTCCTTCAGGAGTGTCCGAAGGACAAAGCATTCCCCACTGAGATGGCTGGAGGGAGCGAGGACCACTCACTTTTCTTGTTTTTTCAAACTGGGAAGAGATTCTTGTCATCATGCCCAGTGCGGATATATATGACAAGCGAGACAGCACTTGGGTTACACCCTGGCGGTCCATTTTAAATCTCTTTAGAGACCAATTTCCCTGTAGGGAGATGAAAGACGTAAGACTATTCCTAACCCAATCCTATGTTGTCTGATACTGTGCAGTCACTCCAAGAAGTTCATGGCAAGATCTTCATGCTTACGAAATTAGAACCATGACACACATTCAGAAATCAAAGTGTCACAATTAAAATGAAAGTTTAGTCAAGTCACTTGCTGGGGTTTTCTAGGAAGATAATGAACATTACTGTGTCTAGCAACCATCTCAGAATTGTTCAATGCATAAACTTACCACATCAGAGCTGTCACCTTCTCAGGAACTAATTCTATAATGAAGAGCCAGTTCAACCACAGATTTCCATGGGAAATCATAAGCTAACTGATAAAACACCAGCAATATCTATACACATTTAAGGGAAAACTAGTTTGAAGCTCAAAGAGATCATTTCATGTTGGAATGTGCTATTTGGATGTTTTCCAAAGTTAGTCTGAAGAACAGGAAAATGTAGCAACAGAAAAATAACTCAGGTATCATTTACTTAGGATAATGAACAAACTGAAGGCTTCTTAATTAAGTTTTAAGGAATCTAAAAATAGTATATATATTCATATTAAGAAACATATATTCTCTGTGGCCACTGTGTCATTATTAAAATAGATTCATATCAACTAAATCTTGAACATTAAATTTACTTTATCTTCTTATGCATTAAATATGTTGTATTATTTTGTAGTTGTATTAATTGTATACATTAAAAATATTCTCAAGAATAATTTAAAGATTAAGATTAGAAATTTTTGAAATTTAAATTCATGGTAACATGAATTAACAGTAGAAAACAGTATTCATCCAAAAAGCAAAGCAGGCTGGGTGTGGTGGCTCACACCCATAATTCCAGCACTTTGGGAGGCCGAGGTGGGTGGATCACTTGAGGTCAGGAGTTCAAGACCAGCCTGCCAACGTGGCAAAACCTCATCTCTACTAAGAATACAAAAACTAGCTGGGTGTGGTGGCGCACATCTGTATTTCCAGCTACTTGGGAGGCTGGCGTGGGAAGATCACTTGAGCCCAAAAGGCAGGGGCTGCAGGGAGCTGAGATCACACCACTGTACTCCAGCCTGGGAGTAAGACGCTGTCTCAAAAATAAAAAAAAAAGAAAAAGCAAAGCAGACAATAAGATGTGAACAAAATTGTTGACTCAAGTTTTCTAATTCTAAAGAGAAAAACTGCACCTGCCGTGGTTCTTCATTCCTCCTCAGAGGACCCAATAAAAGCTAGGAATGTTCTCTTGAGGAAAATGCACATAGAAACAAGAATAAAAATTTTACATTCATTTTTGGACTCTTGTGGATCCCAGGTTAAAAATCCTTGTAGCAGAAAATCTGCTAGGGTTTCAGGAAAAGATTAGGTGATCTGTTTGCATTAAAATATGTAACTTTGGGGGAGCTCCCTCACAAAGTACAGTCTGCTCACTATTACAGTGAAGATCGATCACTTTGGAACCTTGAGTTTCTGAAACGTGGGAAAGAGCTAAACTCTAAGAAACCCTATTAAAAGGCAAAGAAATAGAGCAACTATATATATCCCACAAATTAACCTCTCATATTATCACTTATTTCATTAACTCCTTTTATCCTTGGAGGCAGAATGAATCTAGTAAACTGACTTATGCCCACAGAGTAAGAGTAAATAAGGTAAATAAGTATTCAGCACACAGCTAAAATAAGGCAGCAGCTGTTGGCAAGTAGCAAGTAGATGGGAGTGAAGCCAAGATGTTCAGCAAGAGAATTTGTTCTTGTATTCTGTAGGAGTATTACAAAAGGGAGAGACGAGAAACAGACAAGAGGGCTAAAAATGCTCCTTTGAGAAAAATGTATTTGGTAAAAGCATTCTGCTAATAGCAACACTAAGAATTTTAAAGGTTGATCTTTTTCTGTTGTCTAGAGTGGGGCACACCTGTAACTAGGCCTGCTACTGATTTTTGTAATAAGCAGTTCTATCAGGGAGGTAAAGCAGTTTCCTTTAGGGGTAAAAGAAGTACTCAAAATAGCTCTTTTGACCTGAAAATCATGGGCGAGCAAGCAAGGAAAAGTAATTCTAACAGAAGCGTGTTCAAGCACTCTTTGGAGGATTCGCTTCAAATACTCAGGGATCCACCTCAGACAAGTTTGGGCCACTAGAGTTTATGTGCCTAAATAGGGACAAAGGCCTGGTTCACCTCAAATTTAGATGTAGCTGTCACTGTATGGGCCACTCACACAGACCCACTATAAAGTTCTAAAGTCAAGTATTGAAGCAAGTCTGCACTCTTTCATCATTAAGGGAATCAACATGGTAGATTATACTATGCTTTGTTGGGGCAAAATCTCATCCATAAAACTAATTTTATGTCTGGCATGCAAAACATGAACCAGACTTCATCAGATAGACCTATAGTTGTTACGCTTTAAGAAAGGAAGCAAAAACCCATCTGATAACCTTTTCTGAATAGCCCGAGACCCTGACTACACAGCTGCTGCCGAGAACTGAATTCATCCAGCACAGAACTCATTGCTTATGTGAGGAACAGCTGACAGGTCTTCGAAGAATATAAACCTCCTGTGAAATGAAACATTTTGTATTATTTTGAACAAAAGGTTGATAATTAATAAACTTGCCTGAAATGTGTCAATTTTACTACCGAAGAAAATGGGGGAAAGTATTCTTTAAAAGCATGGTTATTAACAGTTAAATGAAGATTTTTCCTCTGTGTAAGAGTATCTATTTTCTTATTGCCTCATATAACAGGAACTATAATTTGGCAGGAAAGTTACAGTAATAAACACTTCAGACTTCCTTTCAAAGTAGAAATTTGTGCTTTGTAAACATTCCTTTCTATATTTCACCTGGATTCTCAAAGTGCTTTAAGTTTTTCTTCTACCAAATAGATTTACAACTAAATTACAAGACCCTAAAAGAGTGACTGAAGACTTACGGTAGAAATAGCGTTCACCATGCCATTGGTGATCTGGTCTTGGCGCATGTGTTTGACAACATCAAACTGGGCTGCTCTTTGCTTAGGAATCACCTGGTCGGCAATCTTTTTCATTTCAGAATTAAATTTTTTGAACAAGTCTTCAAAAAGAAGAGATAAAAGCTAAAAAAAAAAAAAAAGGTAGATGGTGATTTTTCAAAAAGCACTGCTAGATTATTTTAACAAACTCTAGGTCTTAAGATTTTTAAAAAATAAGATGGAGGAACTGCTTAAAACAGAAAAAAAATTGGTATTTTCAAATTCAGTTTGCCAGATATGTACAAAATTTTCTATGTGCTTAAAACTGTGCTAGGCATTTAAATGAGAGCAAAGATGATGACATACTCACTGCATTCAAAGACATTTCCTTTAGACCAGTCACTTCTAGACTTTCAGATTTCATTGACCAATGACCTAATTTTTAATTTTACAGATAAAGTTACGCATTAAAACCAAAAAGGATGCAGAGGGAGAAGAATTACTATTAAAAACTCTGAAGATGCCCAAGATGTTTCCTGTATCATTGGTAAAGGTGTAAATTGGTACAATCACTTAGGAAACAGTTTGCCATTATCTACCCATCCCTATGCCCAACAGTTCCTCTCCTAGGTATACCTGCTATAGAAGTGGTTCTCAAACTTTAGCATGTACAGTAATCACTCTGAGGGATTGTTAAAACACAAATTGCAGCTGGGTACGGTGGCTCATGCCTGTAATCCCATCACTTTGGGAGGTAGGTGAGTTGATCACGAGGTCACGAGTTCAAGACCAGCCTGGCCAAGATGGTGAAACCCTGTGTCTACTAAAAATACAAAAATTAGCCAGGCCTGGTGGTGGGCACCTATAATCCCAGCTATTTGGGAAGCTGAGGCAGAGAACTGCTTGAACCCAGGAGGCAGAGGTTGCAGTGAGCCAAGATTACGCCACTGCACTCCAGCCTGGGTGACAGAGTGAGACTCCATCTAAAAAAAAAAAAAGGCTGGACACAGTGGCTCACGCCTGTAATCCCAGCACTTTGGGAGGCTGAGGCGGACGGATCACGAGGTCAGGAGATCAAGACCATGGTGAAACCCCATCTCTACTAAAAATACAAAATTTTAGCCAGGTGCGGTGGCAGGCGCCTGTAGTCCCAGCTACTCGGGAAGCTGAGGCAGGAGAATGGCGTGAACCTGGGAGGTAGAGGTTGCAGTGAGCTGAGATCGCGCTAGTGCACTCCAGCCTGGACAACAAAGTGAGACTCCACCTCAAAAAAAAAAAAAACAAAACACACATACACACAAATTGCAGGCCCTACCCTTACAGTTTCCAGCTCAGTAGGTCTAAGGTAGTGCCCACGAATATGAATGTCTGATCAGCTCCCAGGAGATGCCAGTGCTGCTGGCAGGGGGAGGGCACTCAAGATACTTATACTAGCTATTTGTAGCAGCTAAAATCTGGAAACCATACAGATAGTATGTAGACAAACTGTGGTATACTCATATAATGAAACACTATAAAACAATGAAAATGAACAAAAAATCACTAACCACAAAATCATGGCTGAGTATTAAAAACAAATACTCAGCAAAAGAAACCAGACACAAAACAATATACATATGGCACGATTCCATTTATATAAGGTTCAAAACCCAGCACAACTACATTATATTGTTTAGGAAGGTACAATTAGGTGGTTATACTTTAAAGATTAGGATGCAAATAGTGTAATAGAAGAATCAGCTAAAATTTTAAGGACTTCAACTTAAAGGCCAAATGTGGACTGCCACACAAGTTCAGAGTTCTTCTGAAGCCCAGGCACAAGAAGTGTCCACACCCACTCACGAGTTCCTTTCTGTGGAGTGCTCATGAAAGGCTGCAGCGAGGCAGAAGACCTGAGAAAGATCCCTTTGCTGGAACACAGGCAATAAAACCCTACCTACCTACTTCCCTGGGCTTTCTTGCATAGGAAGCAACACCTAAGTCCCTGGGAAGGGGGCAGGACACCCTCCTGCCTAGCAAAGTCCCGGGAGGCAAAAATAACCTCCTCTCAGAGAGGGATAGAAGCAAAAGCTATCTGTCCCTAATCACCCCTGCTCTCCCAGCAAGCTCTGCACCTACAGTAACTAGCAACAACAGTCTCCCCCTGGAAGAGGTCCAGTAAACCCTCTGATTTCAGGAAAAGGTGCAATGCCAGAGGGAAGAGAAGGGAGAAGCATCTTTCCCTAGGGGAGGAACAGGAAACCTGGTTGGGCAAAGATCCTGCACTGATACACAGCAGGGGCCAGATCTGCAGGGAAGGGGCAGGAAACTGAAAGCTTTCCTTTAGAAAAGGAGGGAAAAAGAAAAGATTGCCCATTCTCATCACTCCTATTCAACATTGTATTGGAGGTGCCATTCAGTTCCATAGGACAAAATAAAGAAATAAAAGATATAAATATTGGAAAAGAAGCAATAAAACTGTCTTTACTTGCAGATAATATGTTTATCCACATAGAAAATTCAAAAGAATCTAAGAAAAAGCCTTAACAGAAATACTACATATGTTTAGCAAGTTTGCAAGATACAAGGCCAATAAACACAAAGCAACTAAAAATTACTGAAAGAAATTAAAGAAAACTTCAATAGGTGAGATGATAAGTTCATGGATTGGAAAGCTAAATATTATTTAGATAACAGTTCTCCCCAGACTGAACTACAAATTCAAATGCAATCTCAATGAAAAAGCTTGCAGGCTTTTATTATTTGTGAAAATGGAGAAGTTAATTCTAAAACTTAAGTACAAATGTTAAAATTCCTAAGTTTATAATAATACTCAGAAAAAAAAAAAAACCTTCACTATTCACTTCTGGAGGAAATTAGAGAACTAAATCATTATTCTGCAAACAGGCTTAAAAAAAAATGTAGCAAGCATTTTACCCCGCCTTTCCCACGTAAATTACGTTTCAGGGTAACGAAAGGGATGACAATGAAAGTACTCTGTATTAAAAAATTCCAGCTAATAAATGGACCAGGATGAAAATGTTAGAATATCATTATTTTGCATGCCCTAATGAGATAATGAATAAAGGAAATGATCATCATCAGATGCTAAATAAAACTATCAGGAGAAAAGTTGATGGGGAACTTAATGGATGAATCAGGGACCCAAACACCTAAACCCAATGATCAATTTCAATGGCACAAAAAGTGTATAAAATCAGACATACAGGATAGGATATACCCCCACCACCCACGAAGTGTTCTAGTCCCCAACCAAACCAAACCAAAATCGGAATACCATTTATCCTCTAGATTTAACTTCTGGTTTATAAGAAATTTAGGAGGGAGAGGAATATATATATATATATATATGTATGTATGTATGTATGTTAAAAGACACCATGAGGGCTGGGCACGGTGGCTCACATCTGTAATCCCAGCACTTTGGGAGGCCAAGGCGGGCGGATTATGAGGTCAAGAGTTTGAGACCAGCCTCACCAACATGGTGAAACCCCATCTCTACTAAAAATACAAAAATTAGCCGGGTGTGGTGGTGGGTGCCTATAATTCCAGTTACTCAGGAGGCCGAGGTAGGAGAATCACTTGAACCCGGGAGGCGGAGGTTGCAATGAGCTGAGGTTGTACCACTGCACTCCAGCCTAGGCGACAGAGTAAGACTCCGTCTCAAAAAAAAAAAAAAACACCATAAAGATACGTGATAGTTAATTTTAGGTGTTGACTTGACTGGGTTAAGGAATGCCCAGAAGGTTGGTAAAGCATTATTTCTGGGTGTATCTCTGGGGGTGTTTCTGGAAGAGATTGACATTTCAATCAGTGGGCTGAGTAAGGAAGATCTGCCCTCAACCAATGTGATTGGGCATCATCCAAACTGTTGAGGACATAGAACAAAAAAATCAGAAGAAAGGCAAATTTATTATCTCTTCTGGAGCTGAGACACCCACCTTCTCCTGGCCTTGGACATCAGAACTCTAGGTTCTCAGTCGTTCAGCCTCAGTCTGAGAGTAAACACCATCACCTCCCTGGTTCTCAGGCCCTTGGACTTTGACTAAACTATACCACTAGCTTCTCTGGTTCTCCAGATTGCAGACAGCACATTGTGGGACTTCTCTGTCTCCATAATCACAAGTGCCAATTCCCATAATCAATTCCTTCCTATCTTATCTATCCATCTATCTAAAAAATTTTAACGTGTGAAAACATATGAAAAATTTTAAGGTGTGAAAAATTTTAGTCATGTCTTTTAGAGACATATTTTTAAGTATTTACAGAATGTTATTTGACAGCTGAGATAATGAAATGATTTGATGGCTACAATTTGTTTAAACAACACAATTTGGGGAATAAGGGGAGGGGAAAGAGTTGAGAAGGGTATAGATGAAACAACATTGCCTTCCACTGATAACAGTTGAAGGTCTGTGATGGATATATAGGAGTTAATTTTACTATTCTATTTTTGTGTATTTTGGAAAATGTTATTAATATTTTTATTTAAAATGTTAACCAAAAACCCTTAAAAACTTAGAAATAAATCTGAAAGAGGTGCAAGACCTTCATGAATAAAATTATAAATCTTTATTGAAAAACATCAAAGAAAACCAAAATAATGAAAGGAAAATATTCATGGATAAAAAGTCTACATATTTTAAGATTACAAATCTTCTCCAAATTGATCTACAGTTCCAATACAACGCCAATTAGAATCCCTAGAAGATTTATTTTGATGAAAATTGACAAAATAACTCTAAAATTTATATGGAAAAGCTAAGACCCTGAAATAGCCAAGACATTCCTAAAAAAGCTGAAGGTACTAATGAGTACATAGACAACCTGACCAATGGATAGATCAAAGAATCCAGAAAAGATCTGCACATATAATAAAACTTGTTATATGATAGAGATGCATTTTGGATCAGTGAGGAAATGAAAGACTATACAATAAATGGAGCTGGGATAACCAGTTATCCATTTGGAAAACAAATGAAATTGGATTCCTTACTTCATTACAGATGAACAAAAGAACAAATACTAAACACACAAGCTTAAAAAATAAAGAGCACTGTATTAGTCTGTTCTTGCCTTGCTATAAAGAAACAACTGAGACTGTGTACTTTATAAAGAAAAGAGGTTTAATTGGTTCATTGTTT